GGGTGGGGGGCAGGCTGCTCCACCCTCGCCCGCGCCCGCTGACGCCCTGCCTAGGACCAGGCGGCAGGCCCTGCGGAGCCGAGTCACAGTGACTCCACAGCGTTCACAGGAACCACCTGTTTGTTTATTGGGGGTAGTTTACATGCAAGACCCGCCTCCAGACCAGTCTGCTGGGCACTGACCCACACAGGCTCCTGGGATGAAGGACCACACCACACACTCCTCTTCCCACGGTCCCCGCAACCCCGAGCCTCACACACGAGCGCGAACTGTAGGCGTTAATGTCCGGCCCTTTCTCTAGGACAGCCCAGAGGCCAGGGCAGCAGCGGCTCCGGGGACCGCGGTGGCGCCACAGGGAGACAGGCAGCACTGGGCATCTGCCGGCTGGTCCTGTCTGGGTGAATGGCGAGGAGCGAGTCCTGGCGGGAGGTGGCAAGGCTCACGGTGGGTGGCCCGAGGCCGGGGTAGCACGGCCCCTCTGCAGCGCTTTTCCCTAGCGGGCCCACAGCATCCTGGAACCTTCCGGAAGGCGGGGCTGGACTGAGTGAGAAGCATTGTGTGTGTGGAGGCGAACTGGGGGTGTCGGCAGGAAGGAAGAGGAGGAGCGGGAGTGTGGACTGAGCCCTGCCCCGGCCTCCCAGCTGGGGACCTGAGTGACAGCATGCGCACCCCGGGCCCCTGGCTGGGACCCCGGGTGAGGAAGGGCTGGGCAGGGCAGCGAGCCCAGGCAGGCCTCGGACAGGCAGCCCTCACCGACAGTGAGGCTGACAGTCGGGAGGCTGGCCCAGGCAGCACCAGCTCTTTACGAAGCCCTGCCCGCCGGCATGCTGTGCTGGCCCCTCTGCTATGGGCCAGGACCCGGGCCGCGCGGGCTGCTGCCCACCGCCGGAGGCAGGCGGAGGGAGCGGCTGGTCTTCACATCTCAGCACAACGAACACAGAAAAGGTCCCACACACCCCAGGGAAACATTGTGACAAAATAAATATTTTAACCTGTAACCAGGTATAATTAGTGTTGACAAGGACTCCCAGGAATAACTTAGTGTAACTGAGCACGCAGTGTCTGACCTCTGACCTGGTGGGGCTGGTGGCTGCGAGGGTCCTCTCCCCTCTCTGGGGGGCCCCGCCAGCCTTCTCCCAGGGCCCCCGCTGCCCCCAAGCAGGGGCCTGAGGGCTGTGGTCCCCAGGAAGGGGTCCAGAAGCTGCGAGGGCGAGGGCGCAGGAGGGCTGAGCAGCCCCTCGAGGCGCCCGGCCTGTTCCTGCTTCCTGTGAGGCCTCGAGCGAGGCCACTCCAGCCTCGAGGTAGGCAGGCGGCCCTGGACATGCTGTGTGAGCGGGAGGAGTGTCTCCAGGCTGGGGCTGGTGACTGCTCTGCTGGGCCAGCGCCTACCTGCTGCCCACCGGAGCCCAGCACCTGCTGCCCGCTGCAGGGGGCGCTCTGGCCCGCGGTGTGAGGGCTGTGCCTCCCAAGGCAGGTGCAGGTGCGTGCTTCTGCTCCCCTCGCCGGCAGCCTCCTCTCCCTCAGCCCCTCAGCAAGACAGGAGGCTGGCTCTGCTCCGAGGACACGGGTGGTGCTGTGGCTCCTGCAGGAGTGGCCCCGAGGTCCCAGCTCGGACCAGGACGCAGCGGGGCTGCTGGGCATCACTGCCACCAGCCAGCGGACTCCGGCGTGTGGCCTCCAGGCTGGCCTCGGAGCACTCCCGCAGGACAAGGAGAGCTTCGTGCCACCGCCGGGTGCAGGGGTGAGTGCAGCCAGAGATGCAGGGCTGGAAGCTGCGGCCAAGCTCCCAGTGCTTCCTGGGTGTCCCCTGCTGGTCCTGCCAGACGGCCCGGCCTGGCCCCAAAGCCTTCTTTCTGGAGGAGGCTGCAGCGGCGCCACACTGGGCATGGGCTCTGGGGGGCACGCCTCACTTCTCACCAGGAAGGTTCCTGTGGGTGTTCAGCGTGGCCCGGGCTGGTCCGAGCCTGCAGCACGTCTCCACCTGCAGCCCAGGCGGGAAAGGCTGCCGCTCTGGGTTGGGGACACATAGTGGCCTGGCCATGTCTGACCTGAGCACCTGGGCAGTGCGCGCGGGACACTGACCTGCGCCCGGAGGTCACGGGCGCCGCAGTTCCGTGCTCAGCGTGGGTCAGGCTCTGTGCGCCTCACCCAGGGCCGGGAGACACCCAGCAAGGACTCGGCCCCAGGCTGTTAGCTGCTGGGTTGGCTGGGAGAGAATACACATTGTGGCTGGGGTCTGGGGAGGGAGGTCAGGATGTCAGAACAGCCTGTGGAGAGGCTGGGGCCGTGCCAGGAGCTAGTGGGAGCCTCGGTGCTGCTCTGGCCCTGCAGGCTCTGGGTCTGCAAGCCTGGCCCAGCGGCCTGGAGTGGGGTCCTGGAGGCAGGGCAGAGGCTGCCAAGGCCAGGCCAAAGCCCCAAGCATGGCATGCTCACACGCCCACAAACTTGCCCAAGCTAGCAGAGTGACACCTCCCGTGCCACCCCCCAGACGGGCACTGCAGGAGGGAAGCGCACAGTGGGGCTGCAGATGAGTGCAATTCCACAGGAGCTAAGCAGGTGCCAGTGCCCACTGTCCAGCGGCCTGGGCTGCCCTCCCCATACCCTTGGCTCCCCCCGGCCAGCAGAGTGTGGGCTGTGTGGGCGCCATGGTCTAGGCTCGCTGCTGAGTGATGAAAGTGACCGGAGGGGACAGCCCCAGGTCTGCTCAGGAGCCAGTCCCAGGGCACTGACTGCCCGAGGCTGCCCCCCCCCCCCCGGAGGAGACGGTGGGGGAACCTGTGAGGGGAGCGTGGGGGGCGGTTAGGGACCCGCTAGCAGCAGCTGCCCCACCTCCCCAGAGAGGCCGTCCTGACTAGCGGGAGGCCTGGGAGCAAACACAGTGGCATTTCCATGGAGACAGCAGTGCAGGACTGAGGACTGAGTGGGGCTGGGGATGGGAGGAGTGGCCGGTGCCTGGATGGGGGGAGACAGGTGACCTGCCATCTGGGAGCCAACCCACAGACCAGCTCACAGGGCGAAGAGGGCGTCCTCGGAACGCGTGGGCTTCCTCTGGCTGGAGGGGTTGGCAGCTGGGCTGGGTGCCTCCGCTGGGGGCGAGGGCAGGTTGGGAACCATTTCAGCAGCTCTGGCCCTTTCTTCAAGGAATTTATCAAACTCTGCAAACAAAACCAGCGCGGGAGCCAGGATTGGTGGGGGCTCAAACAGCTACGCCTGCACCACGGAGCCCACTCACTCGTGCCCCTGGGTCACTGCCTGGGAGGGAGCAGAGTGACGGGCCCACAGCCAGAGCCAGGGGGCTGTGCTGCCTGGGAACCCCCTGATTCCCCTGCAGGGGCGGGGCGGGGCGAGGCTGACAATTCAGATTCCTCCCTCCCAGCTGCCACTGTCCCACTCTCCAGAGCAGCCCTGGAGGCAGGGCAGGGGGCTGGCGGTGGTCCTACTGAGACCTGGCGGGGCCCCCCCACTCCCCCCCCCACAGGAGCAGGGCTCTAAGCAGGGGGCCGTGAGGGAGGGAGCAGCACAGGGAAAGGCTGGGGGCCCAACGGGAGGTCCAGGAGGCAAGATGGGAGGGGAGGGGGACAGGGGGAGGGGGACAGGAGGAGGGGAGGGGAGGGGAACAGGAGGAGAGGAGGGGGACAGGAGGAGAGGAGGGGGACAGGAGGAGAGGAGGGGGACAGGAGGAGAGGAGGGGGACAGGAGGAGAGGAGGGGGACAGGAGGAGAGGAGGGGGACAGGAGGAGAGGAGGGGGACAGGAGGAGAGGAGGGGGACAGGAGGAGAGGAGGGGGACAGGAGGAGAGGAGGGGGACAGGAGGAGAGGAGGGGGACAGGAGGAGAGGAGGGGGACAGGAGGAGAGGAGGGGGACAGGAGGAGAGGAGGGGGACAGGAGGAGAGGAGGGGGACAGGAGGAGAGGAGGGGGACAGGAGGAGAGGAGGGGGACAGGAGGAGAGGAGGGGGACAGGAGGAGAGGAGGGGGACAGGAGGAGAGGAGGGGGACAGGAGGAGAGGAGGGGGACAGGAGGAGAGGAGGGGGACAGGAGGAGAGGAGGGGGACAGGAGGAGAGGAGGGGGACAGGAGGAGAGGAGGGGGACAGGAGGAGAGGAGGGGGACAGGAGGAGAGGAGGGGGACAGGAGGAGAGGAGGGGGACAGGAGGAGAGGAGGGGGACAGGAGGAGAGGAGGGGGACAGGAGGAGAGGAGGGGGACAGGAGGAGAGGAGGGGGACAGGAGGAGAGGAGGGGGACAGGAGGAGAGGAGGGGGACAGGAGGAGAGGAGGGGGACAGGAGGAGAGGAGGGGGACAGGAGGAGAGGAGGGGGACAGGAGGAGAGGAGGGGGACAGGAGGAGAGGAGGGGGACAGGAGGAGAGGAGGGGGACAGGAGGAGGGGAGGGGGACAGGGAGAGGGGGACAGGAGGAGGGGTGGGGGACGTGCTGGGAACTTCCCCACAGGACCCGTGTCCCTGCCCCCAGAAGGGATGCCATGGGCACCGGGCCCGCGTGCCCTGTGCTGCCTCTGAGGGCTGAGCGTGACGGGTGGGCGCCATGCTGGCTGGGACGGCTCTGTGACTGTCCCCCATCAGCACGAGGTCTGGATGAAGAGACAAGAAGCTCTGGTCCCAGAGGCCCGGCCTAGGCCAGGCACCCGGAAGTGCTCCAGAGTGAAGGCTCCAAGGTGGTGGGGTGCAGGCCCTGTGCACCCCGGCCCCGGGGGGTAAGCTGCCAAGCAGCTGGCCAGGCCGTACCTTCGCTCGTGACGCCCTCCTCCAGGTCGTCGCCCTTCTGCGGGAGGAGCAGAGCACAGGTCAGCCCAGCAGCCTGTCTCCCGCTGCGCAACCCCGCCGTCCCACGGCCCCCTGTCCCAGCCACGCATCCTACTTCCTGTCCCCAGGGTTCTGTGACAGCAAAGTACTGCTCATCTTCTTGGAGAAACAGAAACTTTGTTTTTAAAAAGCAAAAACATGAACCACTTGAGTAGGTTCTAGGTTTTGACCCTTCAGTAGGGCCCAAAAGAAAAATCCAGAAAAAGGTGCAAGCTGGCTCTCGGGCCGCACTGCGTGCGTGCAGGCCCAGGAAGGCCTCCGTCCTCAGGCGCCAGGCCCCTCAGCGGCTCTCCACGCAGCTCAGGGCTCTGGGAAGTTGCTGCCCATGGGGCCACATGAGGGCGGGCAGCGGCAGAGCCATGAAGCCAGGGCCTGCACCCCACCACCTTGGAGCTGTGACCTCTTAACAGTGTGAGTGGGTCAGACTAGCTTCTGTTTGGAGAACACAGTGGCCACTTGCAACTCACTCACTACGCAGACAGAGGAGGAGAGGAGAGCTGGCGGGAGTGGAGGGGGAATGGATGGCGGAGACGCCTCTGGCTCTGCCGCTGCCCTGCCTGCAGTTCTGTTGGGGAGCGCCCCTCCGCCCCTGGTCCCCCTGTGAGCTGAGGGCTTCTGGGAGAGAAGCTATTTCTTTTCTGGGCGTTCGCTGGGGGTAGATATGATGAGTCATTTTCTTCCTCCGTGGCAAGGCACCTGGGCGGCGGAGTGTCTTTGGGACACCTGGCCTCCAGGGAGGTGCCCCGGCGCGTGGGAAGCCCTGTCTCAGGTGTCCATCCCTGTGGGAGGGACCACACCATGGCCTGCAGCCAGCGGGCGACCAAGGCCCCGGCATGGAGGTGGCTCGGAGCAAGAGATGAGGTGTCTCCAGGTCTGGGAAAGGATCCAGCCAGCCCCCGCCCATGGCTTGGGCAGCCACTTCCCTGCCACAGGACATTTCTGCATCGGTCTCCCGCCAACACCTCCACCCGCCTCCCAGAGGCTGCGGTTAGTACAAGTGCTCTGTGGGGAGGGGCGGGCGGGCGAGGCCTCCCTCCTCAGGACTGGCCGCACGGGCAGGTGCGTGTCCTCATTGTCCTGCCCTGTCTCTGGGACAAAGACATGGTCTCTGGGGCAGGTGTTCTCTTGGGTGCAAGACACCACAAGATACTAGAGCAGGGAGGCAACAGTGCATTTTTCTTTTTTAAATCCTCACCTGAGGATCTGTTTTATTGATTTTAGAGAGAGGGGAGGGGAGAGAGAGAGAGAGAGAAACATCGATTGGTTGTCTCTCATATGCACCCCCTCTGGGGATTGAACCTGTAACCTAGGCATGTGCTTTGACTGGGAATTGAACCAGCAACTCTTCAGTGCCCAGGAGGATGCTCCAACCGAGACCCACCAGCCAGGGTGACAGTGGATTTAAAATGAAAACAGCCCTGGCTTGTGTGCTCAGTGGTTAGAGCATTGCCCCATGCACTGATTCCTGGTCAAGGGCATGTACCTGGGTTGCAGGATAGACCGGCCCAGGACAGGGCTCACGCTGGAGGCGATTGATCAATTTGTCTCTCTCACATTGATGGTCTCTCTCAATCTTCCTCTCTCCCTCCCTCCCACTCTTTAAAAATCAATGGAAAAAGTACCCTTGGGTGAGGTTTAAAAAAACAAACAAACAAAAACACCCCATTCATCTGTGTGTATATGTCACAATTAAAAAAAATTAAAACCAAAAAACAAACCCTCAAAAACAGAAAATCCCACAAAAAAACAAGCAGAAAATAAAAAAACGGAACTCAAGCGCACAAACCTGAACGAAAAGTATCTGGGGAGAGCGCAGGGTGTTTTGGAGCCAGCGGGGGCCAGCTGAGGCCAGCTCTGCCAGGGCCGGCGGCCGAGGCCACAGGAGTGGAGGACATGCCAGCTGTGAGGCTCTGGTGGTGGCAGGAGCCACCCCTGCCCCTCCTCCCTCCTCCCTCCTCCCCCCCCCTGCGTCCAGAGCAGCCCCTGGGGTTGTCCCTGGGCCTGTCTTTGCCACACCCCACACTTGAAAGAGAAAAGTGGAGTCTCACCAGGTCGGTCCTGAGCCACACCTCAATGTCGTCCATGACAGAGGGCTGTGCAACGGGGATCTATGGAGCGGCAAGCAGCGGGCAGCAGCCGCACAGCCAGGGAGGGGAGACAGAACACCAAAGTAAATCATCAACACCCCAACGACCCCCACGCACAGCAAAGAAAACCCACCAGCGCAGCAGGCGTGGGCAGCGAGGCAGCCGTGCAAGGCAGGCGGGGAAGCAGTGAGGAGCAGGTCTAAGAGCGGGGATGGGGTGGGGTGGGGGGGCAGTACGTCCCTGACATGGAGAACTCTTTGACTGTGGTGCCAGGCCTCATGACGCGGCCTCGGTCAGGCTCAAAGCACCCGCTCGTCTCAGGCGCGCTGCCCTGCAGGCTGACTTTGAACTCCTCGGATATGACAACTGGAGGAGCACTGTCTGCTGGAGGAGCCACCATGGCACCAGTGGCTGGGGAGGCCTAATGGGAGTCTGTCCCGAGCAGGGGCAGTGCCAGTCAGCGCTGCAGCTGCCCTGGGAGCCCCGGGTGCGGCTGCTCACTCGTGTCTCACACTGTGTGGGCACATCCCAGGGGAGGGAGCCCCGGGCCGGGCGGCCTGTAGGAGGCAGGCACCTTCCACCACCACCAGAAGCCGGAGCAGAGGCTTGGAGGACCGAAGGGCCAGAGGCTTCAGTCCCCTTTGTGTCTGTAGAGACCACTAGGCCTGAATACGGCGCTTCCCTTGGCCCCACCCTTCCAGCTTCCCAGGGTTGGCGCACTCCCTGTCAGAGAGGTCCCTGCAGTCTGGGGAGTGGCGGTGGTGGCAACACACCCGGGCCCCCCCGAGCAAACGGACGCACCTCCTGGGTGCCTGTGCAGTTTCCACTCAGGGCCACCAGCCCAAGGCCTTGGGGGCTGGGTTCTGAAAAACACACTTGGCTACAACGATTTAAGGGGCTGTCAGCTAGAACATCCTGAGTAGGTAACGGTAGCCTCGCCCCTCTAGAGGTTGCGGTAATGAAACGTGGGCGCCCAGCCTAGACGACCTAGTTCTCGGACCTGCCTTCCCCACTAGTACCTCCCAGTGGCTCGCTCACAAGCCCGCTTGGCTTCTAGGAAAACTGCAGCATTGAGTCTACAGCTGGCTTCACCCCCATGTCACAATCTAGGCTAAGAATAACGTTAAAATGAGCAGTAAGAGGACAGCTCAGCAGTTGCCAAATCTACACAATGACATGAACTCAACTAACGAGCACAAAGCCCCTATTGCCCAACCTGCCCCATGTGACAAGCCACACCCAGGGCAGAAGCCCGGCAGTGGGTGAGGGGCTGAAGCCACGCAGCAGGGGTCTGACGTGGCCGCGTCCTGCACACACTCCTCAGCGAGCGGAGACCCTCGCTCTGTTGAGCCACAGGCCCAGCGTGGGCAGCGCACGCACACTTCCATAAAGGCTCCAGCCAACCTTGATCAGATGAGGAAGACTCGCCATTTTCATTTTATTCTTTGACTTACTCAGGACTTAAGAATGTTGGCATGAAAAAATATCAAGTTCAAATCATCCTGAAATGACTCCTAGGGACAAAGGACAGGTGCTCTCCCTCGAGGGCCCTGTGCCCAAGGCTGCAGGCACCCCCGCCCCGCAAAGCACAGGCATGAGCTGCGATCCCGCAGCCTGCAGAGGGCTGTGCCCTGATGTGTTTCCCTGACAAAGCGACTTCTCTCATCTCGGTGCTCCTCCGGTGGCAGGCCAGGCCCCGGGAAGATGCGCCATCGGGTGCCCAGGACTAACACTTGAAAAGTCAGCCGCTTCTCCGCAAGGACCCGACCACAGCTGCGGGAGTGAGGCCGGCTCCACGGACATGCTTTCCAACGTGGCGCAGAAGCCCGAAAAGCCACTGAGGCGATCGGGGCCGCACACCGTTAGATTGAGCTTATAATTAAATTATTGTTGTTACTGTTCAAAAGCAAGTCCCTCGGGCTGGGCGTCACGCTCCCGGTTTTCTTCTTTGAGGATGGACCGAGAACGAGCATGCTCAGAAAACACTGACAGGAGACGTGCAACCCTGAAAGCCTGAGGCTGGGTCCCGGGAACACTCCTGCCCTCTCCCGACGCCTCCCGGTGAGGCCCGGACTGAGGCGCCCTGGGCACGGGGGAGGGGGGGCGCCCAGCTCACTGCTGCAGACCCTCCACTTCCCTAAGGAGCCTCGTGCTTGCCTGGAGAGGCCGGGGCCTGGACAGTTCTGGCCTCAGTTTCCTCCTCTGTGAAACAGGCTGAGCTCACGATTCCGAACCCTTAACTGCCAGGTGGCGTGTCGGTTCTGGAATTCTGAAGCCCAGGGATGGCCTCTGAGGAGCTGTCCGGAAGCCGCGCAGCTGCGGCCTTCAGAGGCACCGGTGGGCCCGGGACCAGAGGCGCCGCCTCACCTGGCCGGACTCACTCTGGCGGCGGCACCAAGTCTCTGGAGAGGCACGTGCGGGCCTGACCGGAGGCGCAAAGGAAGAGAATGTCCAGGGGAGGCCAGTGCGGATACCCAGCAGCTCTGGGGTCGCCGCGGGGAAAGCTCCCTGGGGAGGTGCCAGGAGGTGCCCACGAGGACCCTCAGGCGGCTCGCCGACTTGCACGGCCTCCGAGACTGAGCAGGTCGCTTCTGCCCGTACTGAGCAGGAGTCAGGGTTGAAGTCATCACTACAGATGCATAAATCGATCTTTCAATAAACTATCAGTTGTTAAACAGACAGAAAGAAACCCAGGGACGTCAGAAATGACTGGCGCCGGCTCCTCAGTATGAAGGCACTTGGCCTCCAGGGGGTGCGGGCCAGCAGCCCCGCGTATGTAAAAGTCGAGGTTCACTTGCTCTGGGTGGACAAAGCCCCTTAAATCAGCACCTTGAGCATCACATGGTGACGTCCCTTCTAATACCGTGGGTGCTGCCTCTGACGAAGCCTGTGCCTGCTCTACACCAGGGCCTGGAGCTGAGGGAGGGTGCGGAGCTCCGCCCAGGCTGACGGAAGGGCGAGAGGCCAGGGCTGGCCCCGCTGAGCCCTGGGACTGGGGCTCTGTCCTGCCGCGGTTTAGCATCTTCTTGGGGAATTATCCAGTCAAAGGCGGGCCCACGGGGTTGGAAGGAGAGTGTGAGTTGGAGGAGGCAGACAGAAAGGGGAAAAGAGACGTGAAGAGAGAAAGATAAAAGAAGTTACTTGGGCAGCACCCTCCAATAAAGACCAGGGCTGGAGCTGACCCCGCCGAGGACAGGCAGCCAGGCTGGCTTGGCAGAGGCAATGGCCTGTCCTTGGAACCCAACAGGAACTGGCAGGCGGGTGCCAGTGGCACATCCTGGCCGCAGAGGTGGTGGGCGGTCTGCTGCCCGCGGGCCCACCTGGCTGCAGGCAGGCAGCTCTGCTGAGGGAGCAGTGGGGGCCTGTGCACAGGGGAGAGGCTGTCCTGGGCTCAGTGCTCTTGGGACGTCGGGCTGGCTGTGCCTGGGGTCCTGTGGGCCTGAGTAGGCCCCCCTGCCTCCCAAACCTGGGCTTTGGCAGCAGCAGACCTTCCTATTAACCTTCTGTTCTCGTGACAGACACAGCAGAGAGCTGCTGGCTGCCCAGCGTGTGGGGGACTCCTCTCGGGTCACAGGCTGGGGGACAGCACGCGCGTTCTCAGGGTTTTCTTCAACTGCTGATGAGTCTGGGGTGGCTGACTTTGGTGCTGAAGCCCCAGGAGCCAGGGTCTGCCCCCCACAGCCCCAGCCCACAGGGGAGCAACTGTCTGACTTCCCACGCAACAGGCACAGTTCTGCAGCCCAGCGGTGCTCTTTGCAGAGAAGTGAGACCTCCCGACGGGCTCCCCCACCCGCCCTGAGGAGTGGCCTACGAGCCTTTGGTCGCACTCAGCAGCACAAACAGCTTCCAAGTAAAGAATCTGTACCTGGGAATGTAGGCAGACTCAGGGCGCTGCACTACGGGAAGTAAGGCAAAGCAGTTAATGTGCGTCGTTTAAAAGGAAAACACTGCAGGCAGGCAGGGGAGGCCGTTAGCTGTTAGCTGGGCTTGCTCCCGGGGACGGAGCTCCGGGTGGGGACAGGGTGGCTGCGACGGCCTGTCAGCTGCCGAGGCCACGCTCAGGGTGACTTTTGGGGGCAGTGTCCTTTTCCTGGCAGGGTTAAAGGCACAAGGACACATGCCTGGATCCTTCCGATTTGGACAATGGAGTGGACATGGTCTCCAGGGGTCGTGCTCTACAGCCACCCACACATGGGCCAGGGCCCCAGCCTGCCCCTGAAGAAGCAAATGAGGGGCTCAGGCAGCCCCTCTCTCTAAGATGGGCTGTGAGGTCTGCAGAAACAGAGCGAGGGGAGGGATGGGTCCCACTTGAGCACAGTGTGCAGGGTCGCCTGCTCCAGCCATTGGCAGGCAGACACCCTCGCATGCTGCCCTGCCTGAACACCCGCCCCTGGCCACGGCCTGGCACGGCCCCAGGCCAGTTACAGTCTTCCCTGTGTGCACTGTGCTGCACTCCAGCTGCAGGGAGAGGCCCAGGATCCCGCCTGCCTGCTCGGCGTGCGGGTGCAGATCTGTTGAGGGCTGTGGCTTCCCAAGGTGAATGGTCACTCCCAGCAGGACAAGCAGCCAGGACGAGGCCACCTTCTCCACACACCGGGCGCAGGGCCACCGGTCAGGGGAGGGAAGAGAGACCCACCCGGTCAGGGGAGGGGAGAGAGACCCACCCGGCCCGGGGAGGGACCCGGTCAGGGGAGTGAAGAGAGACCCACCCGGTCAGGGGAGGGGAGAGAGACCCACGCGGCAGGGGCGGGAAGAGAGACCCACCCGGCAGGGGAGGCACGAGCCCCGCCCCGGTCCCTGTGCAAAGGCTTTACTTCCCGAGCCCCAGCTGCACGTGTGCCGCTAGCCCCGGCCGGCCTTGCTCCTTCTGTCCTGCTCCGTGTGTGTGTCTGTCCGAGGCCGCACAGCCTCTGGGGTGCAGGGGGCACAAACCCTGACCCTATGGAGCACAGGGAGCCAGCGCCTAGCGCTGCCCTCACAGGCTGGGGCTTTACCAGCTGGTCAGAGGCTTGGAGTCTGTTCTCTTAGAAGCAAAAGCCAGTGACCACTCACCCTGGAGAGGGAATACTGCTGAGCGCCCCCCGGAGACACTCCAGACCCCAAAGGCCCGGGCAGGACCTCAGCAGAGTCCAGGGGAGGCTGGGTCTGTGCTTCAGGGGACGCTTTGGCACCCAGCTGGAAGGGGAGAGCGGCCTGTGCTGTCTGACTCACAGGGCTCAGCGGGGACGTAGGTAAGCGCTGGGGGACACGGCGCTCTGCTCAGCTAGTGGCCGCTCACCATTCCTTGGGTCACGAGCCAGCTGTCTATGGGCTCCAGGTCAGCGTCCCCACCTTTAACTCTCTCCTGGACGGAGGACAGGAAAGTCCCAGAAAGAAAAGTCACAGCGAGACCCACAACCAAGAAGCAACAGCACATCCCACGGGACAGAGGCCGCTCGAGGGATCATGTGTGTGTCAGCCCTGGCCCAGACCCCACCACGCCCCCTACCTACCTGTGAAGAGGTTAGTAAAGTAAGCAAGCCCTCCAGGGCCCCCTGTGTCGCTTTCCCGGGCACCGGGCGGCCTCCAGGAGCCACAGACTGCCCGGAGCTGCTGCTCCCCGGGAGGGTTCCCAGGCAGCAAGGGGCGGCTTAACGAAGAGCCAGCCTTTACAAATCATTCCTACTTTTTTCTAACTTATCTTTGCTTTTTCTTCCTTTTTTCCTCTTTCTCAGTTACCTGTATGTTCATTTCCCAAACCCTTAAACTCTAAATTTGGGTATGTTACCTTTTTTAAAAGCAAGACAACTGATTTGGTTGCACTGTGGAGGCGTGGCTATCCATCTTCCCCTCCCTACTGCATTCTTCATTTCTCCCTTGACCCAGTGTTCCTTTCCAGGCCAGTGTGGGTTAGTGTATGAACATGACCTGAAGCCCTGGCCTGCAGGTGCACGTGAGCCAGTGTGTGGGGACAAAGATACAAAGACACACACACAGGCATGAAAACACACAGACACACAGAGACACACACACACACAGGTATGCAAACACACAGACAGGCACAGATATACAGACACACACAGAGATAAACACACACACAAAGATATATAGATACACAGACACACAGAGATAGACACACACACAGACACATACAGAGACAGACAGACACACGGACACACACACACACATACATGCAGAGCTAACAGGAACCCTGCTCCCCGCATCGCCCATCGAGCAGTCAGCATGATGAGAGAGCAGCCTGCCACCACCACGTGGAGACACACTGGACTCAGCAAGGCCTTTGAAAGCTGAGGCTGGCCAAGCCACACACCCGAAGGGTGAAGTGTGGGAAGCTGGCCACATGTCCTAAGCTCAGACCCAGGCGTGGGCATTGACAATGGCAAAGGTGTGGTGGGGCACAGGTTGCCATGGACAGGGCAGGCCCTGGAGACAGAGTGGGAAGCAAACCGGGTCAGCCTGGTTGGGACAGGGCTGCAGGCCAGGCCAGGGAGGGCAGGGAGGAGGGGCACCTCACGTGGCAGGGCCTCCGCCCAGTTCCTAAACGCCCTCCGGAGCCAGGGGGGAGGACATTCTAAATAATGGGTAAATGGAGCCGTGGCCGCTGCACAGATTCCGGGAGTCTGGTCTCGGGTTTGCCCACTCTTCTGTGGAAAGGCAGGGGACCGAGCCCAAGGCAGCTGGGCTGGCTCTTCTGTGCCCCCTGGTGGCCAGTGCAGAAGGATGCAGTTGGCCAACTAGGAGGGAGGAGGCCCTTCCCCAAGGCGAGCTGCAGGAGGCCCAACACTGGCATTTGGGAAGCAGCTCCCATGGGGGGGGGGGGGGGGGGGGGGGGGGGGGGGGGACGGCAGAGGAGCAATGGGCACGCCTTTCCTGGCCCAGCCGGGGGACCTCAGAAGGAGGCCCAGCCTGCCCCTGCCCCTGCAAACAAACATTCATCCACACACCTCACGCACACCGCTTGGCAGAGGGAACAATCTCACGAGAAACATGAAGACACAACTCCTTTCCCCTGCGATGATCTGAGGCTTACAGAAACCAGGGTGCATTGGGGCCGGACGAGCACCATCCTCCACTTCTGCCTTTTCTCCGGTCTTTCCCGCCCTCCACCAAGCCTGCGTCTGCTTCACCTCACCAGCTTTACCAAACTGCCCAGCACCCCTGCACGGACTCCAGGCAGAAAAGCAGGCCAGACCTACCACTTCGGAGATCTGTTTCCGACTGTCTAGGGCAGAGTGGAGTCCTCCGGCAGCCTGGGGGTCCTCACAGGTTACCCTGGAGATGAAGTAGCACAAGCAGAGTCAGTGTCCCAGGGTCACGGGGGTGGGGGTGGCCTGCAGTCCCTTCCTACCCATGACACCTTCCTCACATGCACTTAGAACAGTGACGGCGAACCTTTTGAGCTCGGCATGTCAGCATGTTGAAAAACCCTAACTTAACTCTGGTGCCGTGTCACATATAGAAATTTTTTGATATTTGCAACCGTAGTAAAACAAAGACTTATATTTTTGATATTTATTTTATATATTTAAATGCCATTTAACAAAGAAAAATCAACCAAAAAAATGAGTTCGCGTGTCACCTCTGACGCACGTGTCATAGGTTCGCCATCACTGACTTAGAAGAACGTTTCCGCACCTTGGCATGGGCAGAGGCTAGGGCTTAGCTGTTGTCTGCCTGCCCGAGGCTGGGAGGTGCTGCCTCCAGCACTAGCTCGGCCGCCCTCCCCTGGGCTCGCACTGCTCTGTCCTCTCTGAAGCGACAGCACGGGGCACCTCTAACCTCTGAGGCACGAGGACAGGGAAGTGCCGAGGCTGTGGAGGGAGGTCCCAGCAGCAGCTCAGTGCACCCACAAGCAGGGCCTGGGCTGGCTGTCCCTGGGCCTCCCTGTGACACAGGGGATTGTCTATTTTGGAATAAACTCCAATTCCCTCTGGCTCCTGCTGGCCAGAGCTGCTACCAGGGAAACCCCACGCACACTCGTGGGCGGGAAGCCTCACTGCCCAGCAGGCGTCCTGCGGCTACCCTCCTGGCTGCCTCCCCTACAGCCCAGGCAGCAGCCGCACCAGAAGCAGAGAGCAGCAGGGTGCTCTTAGACTGATGGGGCCTCCAACTACAGCCGCCCAGGCCAGCAGGGCTGGTGCTCACTCATTCAACATCTGTGTCTACTGCCAAGTCCTCTCAGCCATATTTCAAAGCTCTTGGCCGTCCTGGACGGTAAATAAAAGGGCTCTTTGTGTTGGCCCGTGACCAGGCCTGGATCAATCTCCCCAAATAGCTTCCAGGAGCCACTGGAATGATCCCCACATACGCCTTGCGCTGTTCGGCTGAGGAGCTCCCTGTGGTCTGGGCGCACATGCCAGCGCTGTCCGGAGGGGCGCACTGCTGGAGCGCACTCAGGGTGCCGCTGACGCTCTCTGCCCCCAGGTCTGCGGCAATAGGAGAAATGAGGGAGATGAGAACAAAATGGGTCATGGACTTCACGGGAGTCGTTAAGACGCCAGTTGAGCAGGTGAAAATTCTGGGGGGAGGGCAGGGGGCACACCCAGGTCACCCTGTGCAGGAGGGGCCACGGGTGCGGTCCAGATGGAGAAGTCATTCTGAATGGCAGGGAGAGCACTGGCAGTGGGAAGGGGGTGCCCGGGGCCAGGGACCTTACAGGTTTCCCACAATGCCCGTGCTGGGGGCTCTTCGTCACCTCAATCCCAATGTCTAAGGACCTGGACGTTTAGTTATCTGACAAATATTTTGCAGGTGCCCACCATGCTCAGAACTAGGTCCTGAGTGAACCAAACCTAATCTGATGTGGACCTTGGTCTCAAGGAGTCACAGAGCAGATGAGAGACAGACAGACAGCAGCAGTTCTTGGGACAGTGGACTCTGTGTGGGGAGGGAGACACAGGCAGGCGCAGACTGGCAGTCAGGGCACGTGCAGTGAGCAATGCCCTGGGAGCTAATGGAGGACAAGGCTGGCAAGGCAGGTGGGGAAGGCTGGGAAAAGCCTTGAATGCCAGGAAAGGAGTGGATGGAAAGCATGAGCCCTTTTTAAAGAAGGGAGGCAGCAAAATTCAATTTGAATTTTGGGAGAATCCAGTGGCCATATGCTGAATGGACTGAAGGAGAGAAACCTGTTCTGAAAGAGAATCAGGGGCTACAAACGTGAGATACTGAGAAGCCAGAAATAAAAGCTCAATTCAATTGAAATAAAATGAAGTTATAAAGATAAATATTAAGAAACTAGAGGCCTGGTGCAAGAGATTTGTGCACTGGGGGGGAGGGGGACCCTCAGGCTGGCCTGCACCCTCTCGCAGTCCGGGACCCCTTGAGGGTTGTCTGCCTGCCTGGGGATCGGGCCTAAGCCAGCAGACAAACATCCCTCTCGCAGTCCAGGACCTCTCCTTACCGTCTGCCTGCAGCGGAGGCAGGAGAGGCTCCCGCCATCACCGCTGTGCTCACCAGACATGAGCTCGGCTTCTGGCCGAGCGGCGCTCCCCTGTGGGAGCACATTGACCACCAGGGAGCAGCTCCTGCATTGAGCGTCTGGCCCCTGGTGGTCAGTGGACGTCATAGTGACCGGTCGTTCTGCTGTTTGGTTGATTTGCATATTAGGGTTTTATCATCCTATCTAATAGACAAACATGGTAATTAACTGTACCTCCGACATGCTTCCCATTGGCTAATCAGGGCGATATGCAAATCAACTGCCAACCAAGATGGCGACTGGCAGCCAGGCAGCTGAAGCAAACAGGATGCTTGCTTGCTCCAGTGAAGGAGGAAGCCAAGGTTCCCAGCCTACCACTGTTGGGCTCTGAGCTTGCACTCTAAGAAACAATGTTGCAATTATCGAAGCTAAACAAACCCCATGCTTTCAGTCAGAGCCAACCGGGCCTCAGAGCTGGAGCCGGCTCTCAGATCCAGTGACAGCCATAGAAGGTAAATAAATTCCAAAATGAAAAAAAAGAAGAAAAAAAGGAGAGGTTGGGAGCTTCAGTCACCCACCAGCCTGAAAACGGCC